TGATTTCTTCAGTGATCCCTTGGTTATTTAGTAACGTATTGTTTAGCCTCCATGTGTTTGTGTTTTTACGTTTTTTTCCCTGTAACTGACTTCTAATCTCATAGCGTCGTGGTCAGAAAATATGCCTGATATGATTTCAATGTTCTTAAATTTACTGAGGCTCGAGTTGTGACCCAAGGTATGATCTATCCTGGAGAATGTTCTGTGTGCACTTGAGAAGAAAGTGTAATCTGCTGTTTTCGGAAGGAATGTCCTCTAAATATCAATTAAATCTATCTGGTCTGTTGTGTCATTTAAAGCTTGTGTTTCTTTATTAATTTTCTGTCTGGATGATCTGTCCACTGGTGTAAGTGAGGTGCTAAAAGTCCCCCACTAGTATTGTTTACTGTCAATTTCCTCTTTTATAGCTGTTAGCATTTGCCTTATGTATTGAGGTACTCCTATGTTGTGTGCATATATATTTATAATTGTTATTTGTTCTTCTTGGACTGATCCCTTGATCATTATGCAGTGCCCTTCCCTGTCTTTTGTAACATTCTTTATTTTAAAGTCTCTTTTATCCGATATGAATATTGCTACTCCAGCTTTCTTTTGATTTCCATATTCATGGAATATCTTTTTCCATCCCCTCCCTTTCAGTCTGTATGTGTCCCTACATCTGAAGTGGGTGTCTTGTAGACAGCATATATATGGGTCTTATATTTGTATCCATTCAGTGAGCCTGTGTCTTTCGGTTGGAGCATTTCATCCATTTACATTTAAGGTGATTATCAATATGTATGTTCCTGTTACCATTTTCTTAATTATTTTAGGTTTGTTTTTGTAGGTCCTTTTCTTCTCTTGTGTTTCCCACTTAGAGAAGTTCCTTTAGCATTTGTTGTAGAGCTGGTTTGGTGGTGCTGAATTCTCTTAGCTTTTGCTTGTCTGTAAAGCTTTTGATTTCTCCATTGAATCTGAATGAGATCCTTGCCAGGTAGAGTAATCTTGGTTTTAGGTTCTTTCCTTTCATCACTTTAAGTATATCATGCCACTCCCTTATGGCTTGTAGAGTTTCTGCTGAGAAGTCAGCTGTTAACCTTATGGGAGTTCCCTTGTATGTTATTTGTCATTTTCCCCTTGCTGCTTTCAATAATTTTTCTTTGTCTTTAATTTTTGCCAATTTGATTACTATGTGTCTCGGCGTGTTTCTCCTTGGATTTATCCTGTATGGGACTCGCTGCGCTTCCTGGACTTGGGTGGCTATTTCCTTTCCCATGTTAGGGAAGTTTTCGACTATAATCCCTTCAAGTATTTTCTCTGGTCCTTTCCCTCTCTCTTCTGCTTCTGGGACCCCTATAATATATGCGAATGTTGTTGCGTTTAATGTTGTCCCGGAGATCTCTCAGGCTGTCTTCATTTCTTTTCATTCTTTTTTCTTTAGTCTGTTCTGCAGCAGTGAATTCCACCATTCTGTCTTCCAGGTCACTTATCCGTTCTTCTGCCTCAGTTATTCTGCTATTCATTCCTTCTAGTGTAGTTTTCATTTCAGTTATTGTATTGTTCGTCTCTGTTTGTTTGTTCTTTAATTCTTCTAGGTCTTTGTTAAACATTTCTTGCACCGGCCCCAGGGGACTCCATAACTGTTATTTCAGTTTGGCCCAAATTCCTCTATACACAAAACAAGATGTGACCTGAGAAAATGGAAGCAATCTCTCTGCTCTCTGGGGGGCCGCACAGGCCCAAGGCCAAGGCTGTGACGGCACGAGGTGCATGGGGGGCCTGCGGAGGGCTCAGCGCCATAGGCGGTAGCCGGTGAGCCCACAGCCCACCCTGCACTCTCACTCCATCCATGGTGGAATGTTCTGCCAGAAAGTACGGCTGGTGAAAATGGAGGTCCCTTTCTGTGCGAGTAACATTTTAGAAACAAAGTCCTCTCTGCACCCACGTAGCCCTGACGTCCCCCAGGCCCCTCAACGTACCCCTAGAAAAAGTGCTCTCCTCCATCCGGGGTTCATTGTCTCTGCTCAAAACGAACCAACGCGGCCCCTCCTTGACCTCTTTGAAAGGTAATTCTGGTCACACGAGGGACTGAGGGTGAGGTGTCGGGGGTGAGGGCTCTTTCATCGGCTCCTTTTTTCTAACAAAGGAAGGTTAACTTTCATTGTTTGGGAGCTTCCCTCAACTGCAAAGCACCTTCGCCAACAGGGCTGACCTTGAGAAGTCTGGCAGGCTCTCGAGGAAGGCCCACTTTGCTTCTTAGCTGGCGGTGCTCAAAGGGCAACCGGGAGACCCTGAACAAGTGAGCTCTGTGGAACGTAAGTGCATTTTGCACAGTGGGTTTTGAAGTCACGTTTAACAGTGGAGCTGTGATCACAGTAATTTACCCAGGGAGCAGTTCCAGAAAAGGAGAGGCCAGGAATCGTGGCACGAGAGGAGCCTTCCTTTTCCAAACGTCCACACCACCACCACCACACACGGCACCAAGGCCCGGGGGGGACCAGCCAAGACAGACAAGATCCACTTGTTCTGGGCAAATCCTAAAATGATACTATGCTCTGTGTCTGAGGCAATCGCCTACTAGCTGGGAAGGGATTCTACAAAGCAGCGCTGCAAACCACCCTTCCCCTAAAAGCACCCCAAATCCAGTGTGGGTCAGACTGACGTGCTCTCAGTTAGGCCAGGAAGGGGAGGCACCCCTTCACCCTTCCGATCTCAGGACGCCTGTCCCCAGCACTCAGGCATTCAACTGACAGGCGTGTCTGCAGGAGAGAGCGCGCAGCCGGGCTGGGACCAGGTCGGGGCCTCGGAGCCCGGATGAGGTCTCTGTGGCTCTGGACCCAGCACTGCTCCACTCAGCGGTGCCCCTCGAGGCTGGTGGCAAGGAGTCAGCCTCCCTTCCTTCTCCTCTGTCCCCTCCACGGCCTGGGGACGGGTCTGACTCAGCTTTTCCAACGGCTGCCTTCCTGGTGAGGCTCCTTCAGAACCAGTCAGGCTCTCGCAGCCCGGACACCCCCGACCCCACGGTGAAGGGCTGCTTTCTGGTGCCACATGGCCTCATCTCAGAAGACACGACAGACAGAAGTCACCACGTGCCAGGAGGGGACAGTCACTGTACCTCTTCAGATGAGCATTAATGTGAAACAAGCACGGGAACCATCTTGTTTCTGGGCGGGGCTGGGACTAGACCTCAGTGTCGGGAAAACCACCAACACCAGCACTGCCCTGGATGGTGCAGGCAGGCTGGCCGAGGAGAGGGCCGGAGGCTTCTCTGCTCTGCCCCCGCCACTGCGTACGGCATGGGGGACCCGTGCCCCCCGAGAGAGGTTACGTGCCGCCACGGGATCTGGTGGCAGTGGTCGCAGCAACTGTGTGCGTAGGGCCTTCGCAGGGCTCCGTGCCTGGGGCAGTTTAAGAGGACGAGTTTATGTGGCTCTTCAGCAGGATAAAGGCCCCAATCGCAACTGAGTTACAGAATTTACCAGACTGAAAAGTCAAACCAGCAAACCGTAACTTCACAGATGCATCACCAAAGGCAGACTCGAGGCTCTGGCTCCTATGTCCTGGCAGATGGGCAGAGGCCAGGGCCCGGGACAGGCAGGGTGAACCAAAAGCAAACTGTACACGGGACCCAAGCAGCCAAGGCAGCGCCCCTCTTTGTTGGTGGAGTTCTCTTACCTTTTCGGATCTTGTCGTAAAAGTTAATGGCGTCCACAGAAGCCGTGACGATGTTGGTCTTGCAGTGACGCGCGGCCACGATCCCGGCCACCTCGTCCATGAGCTTCATGGTGACCCCTGCAGAGAAGGGCAGGCGGCAGGTTAGACATGGGGAAGGGGAGCCTATTGCCTGTCCTGGAAACAAGTTATGGGAAACAATGCCCCCATTCCCACCCGCAGGGCCGCAAACCTGGCTTCCCTGAGAGCTTTGGAAGATGACTGTGGCTGAGGTTCTAGGCCACTGACAAAGTGACGACCATTCTCCTAACCTCTACAGGCATCCTATCCTGCCAGGAAAGCTTTGTCACACTCTCCACCAGGATGGCCGCAATCAGAAAGCCAGATGCCAAGCGCCGGTGAGAATGTGGAGAAATCGGAACCCTCTACACGGCTGCTGGGGATGGAAATGGTGCAGCTGCTTTGGAAACAGTTGGGAGGGTCTTGAAAGGCTAAACACAGAGCTGCTATGTGACTCAGCAATTCCACTCCTAGGTGTGCACCGGACAGAAATAAAAACAGGCGTTCACGCAAAGACCTGTACACGAGTTTTTGATCCCATGAGAGCATTACTCATAATAGCCCCAAGATGGAAGCAACCCAAATGTGCACCAACCAATAAATGCACAAGGAAAATGTGGCATAGCCATACAATGGAATAGTATTTAGCAGTAAAAAGAAACAAAGCACTGACATAGGCTACAAAATGGATGAACCTTAACACATTACGCTGAGTAAAAGAAGCCAGACACAGGGCTTCCCTGGTGGCGCAGTGGTTGAGAGTCCGCCTGCCGATGCAGGGGACACGGGTTCGTGCCCCGGTCCGGGAAGATCCCACATGCCGCGGAGCGGCTGGGCCCGTGAGCCATGGCCGCTGAGCCTGTGCGTCCGGAGCCTGTGCTCCGCAACGGGAGAGGCCACAGCAGTGAGAGGCCCACGTACCGCAAACAAAACAAAAACAAAAGAAGCCAGACACAAAAGACCACATCTTGGAGGATTCCACTTATATGAAATCTCCAGAATAGGCAAATCCATAGGTACAGAAAGTAGATGAATGGCTGCCTAGGGATAGGGGATGTGGGAGAAGTGGGGAATGGCTGCCAATGTGGTTATGAGGCTTCTCTTCGGGGTGATGGAAATGTTCTGAAATTGATTGCGGTGACAGTTGTGTAACTCTGAACAGACTAAAAATCAATGGCTTGTAATGGGTGAGCTGTACGGCATGTGAATTACATCTCAATAAAGCTGTTATATAAGAAAACAAACAAAACTAGACAAGTGGGCTGACTGAGAGAGCGCTGTCGGGCCAAGGTGTCTAAAACCTCAGGCCGTAGACGTTTTCTTCTGCTGGCGCTCCCTTAATTGACGGGATCAGGACGGCATACCTGCTGCTAACCCCCTACCCCCCGTTCCTGCCCCACCAAGGGCAACACAATATTCTTCTTATCTTATATTTAAAACCTTAAACCATATCTTTTATTAGGTCAAACTACATGAAATGGCCAATATTCAACCGTTTTGACCTATAAAAGCAGCAAAATATTGATCTACCTGACAACTATCAGAAATCTTAAAACTTATGGGGACTTCCCTGGTGGCGCAGTGGTTAAGAGCCCGCCTGCCAATACAGGGGACACGGGTTCGAGCCCTGTTCCGGGAAGATCCCACGTGCCGCGGAGCAACTAAGCTCGTGAGCCACAACTACTGAGCCTGCGGTCTAGAGCCCGTGAGCCACAACTATGGAAGCCAGCGCGTCTAGAGCCCGTGCTCCGCAACAAGAAAAGCCACCGCAATGAGAAGCCCGCGCACTGCAATGAAGAGTAGCCCCCACTCGCCACAACTAGAGAAAGCCTGCACGCAGCAACGAAGACCCAACACAGCCAAAAGCAAACAACAACAAAAAAAAGTTATGTACATTCACCCAAGGATACAGAATGATTTCTAAAAATGCAGAGAGAGGCAGGCTCATAAAACCCTGGCTCCCGGGGAGTCATGTTTCAGGTGGGGCTCGTGAACTGCAGTGCCTGCAGGGCCAGGCAGGTGACGCCGGACAGCTGATGGCGAGGAGAGCTGGCGGGGACCCTTCTACAGGACAGCTGCTGCTCGGCCCCTCCTACTGTCCCTCAGCCCCAGGAACAAGGGCCCAGCACGACCAGACTAACGATATTTTAAGAGAAGCCTGGAACCTACAAGTTTATGAGGAATCTACCAATTTTTAAACATTGGTGATTAATTAAAACTCTCTTTACTGTGAAGGGGAAACAAAATACAATAAACTAAAAACAGGACAGAAGCCCCGTATGTAATGGACCAGAGGCCTCGTACAGATACTACAGCAGAAGATACTAATTATAAGGAACGTGGGAGACAGGGAGGGGCCCTCTGTCTGGGAGAGGCATACCTGGGGGGTTGGTATACTCTTCTCTCTACCTTTGTGTATATTTGAGCACGTCCATAATAAAAAAGTTTTTTTAAAAAAAACATTAGGGTTGTTGATTTTAAAATTATGCGTCTATTACCATGACTTTTCTCATGCAAGATCCTGATGATGACGATGAAGCATGGAGACAATGGGGCAGAGTTAGCGGGCACCTGCCACTCTCAAAGCGTTTTCAAAGATACTGCGTCAACGGAGGCTCAAAGTCACACAAGGTCCAATTCTAAAGAGAGTGCAAATGAGAGGCTGGGGAAAGGCTCTTCGGCAGAAAACAGAACCACCGGTGCCAGGTGTTAACCCTGGGCGGCTGGCAGGGCAGGGCGGCTCCGGGCTTCAAGCAGCTTGGCGCTCAAGGTCTGAGACAAGGGGTAACACCTGGCTTTGCGAGGAGCCTCTGGGGGGGGTTAAGTCATATTGGAAATGGACCCGGGAAGCCATGCCTAAGCCCAGCACGAGTCCTTCCTGGCCTTTCTACCCACGGTGAGGGAGGGGCCTTGATGAAGGCAGGGCAAGTGCTGGCTTAGCAGCCAAGTCCCTCACCGGCCTGGGGCTCCAAAGAGGTGAAAACACAGGCCAGCATACAGGTCACCTGGCGGGGGAGGGCACTGTCCCTCCCACATGGTGGTTCAGAGCTGGGAGGGCCTGGGCCTGAGCGCCCCCTGCCCCCGCCTGGCTGGGGACCCTGAGCAGGCAGATCATCCTCCGAGCTTTGGGCTCTGCATCTGCAAATTAGAAGAGATGGCAGCACGGACACGCAGGTGACCGTGCAGAGCGAACAGGAGCTGAGCGGCTGCAGCTCAGAGACTCAGGGGCTCGTGAGCACCGCTGACCTCCACCCTGGTTTAATTCGGGGCTTTGGGTAGAGAGCTGTGGTCTAGAGGGTAAATGTCAACAGAAAGAGAAAGATGAGGGAAATGTCTCAGAACACCAGGAAACACGCTGGGCAAGGGCGACACACACCACCTGCGGATGAGGCCGTGGGTCAGTGTGCGTGTCTGCGCCTGCGTGTGTGTGTGCACGTGCGTGTGTTTGTTTCCTAGAGGGAGTGAGAGAGCCCAGACTGAGTGCTCCTAGGCTGACCTGCCTCATAAAATTCACATCGTTAGAGCAGCTGGACAAGTGGTCCCACTCTTGAAAGGACTCGGTGTGAGCTGGAGGCTTGAATTCAGAAGGTGTTTCCCGTAGACTTACTCCAAGTGCGGTAAGTGACCAGCAAAGCTCATTCGGTGTCTGGGGTCGGCTGCATTTGCCATGAAACACAGCTGCAAAGACGATAATTTATTACATTAAGCAAAGGCCGATCCAGAGTCTTGAAACAGTTGAATGCAAGAAGGATGAAGAGACAGAGGGGATTCTGGTAGAAACTGTATGCGTGTGTCACGGGGGAGGGGGGTTTGCGGGCATTTTAACCAGAGGATGTTAGAAATTTATGATGGAATGTGTACTACGTGCGGCTGTCCTGTTTTTCGATGGAGACACCAGCGAACTCAGCCACATCAGGGTCCTTCTGGGAACAGATGAGACAGAGATAGCCAGAGATTTTTTTCGAGAGAAAAACAAAGAAAGGCGACACTGGAGTCTGGTGCAGGATGGTGGTGGGAGCAGAGAGCTAGACGAAAAACAGCAGGCGTTTACGGAGGTCCAGGCGCAGGCAATGCTCCAGCGCGTGGCTCAGAGCCCCTTGGGCTGGAAGGACACTGTCCTTGTTCACTAATGCCCCCCGGGGCCGGCCCCATGGTAGGCTCTTAGCACATACTGGGTATAAGAACAAATGAATGAACAAACGAATGAATGAGTGCTGGCCCTCCCTGGACAGCAGCCTCGGAGGGGGAGGGGCCCTTATTGTCTCCGTTTTACAAAGCAGGAAGCAGAGGCACAGAGAGGCACGTATCCGTGTCTCACGCTGGCTCACGCCCTCAGGCAGAGGCGGGGACCAGCTCCTGACCACAGGCCACCAGAGGCCACGCCGCCTCTCGACCCAGATCCCACGGTACTGAGACTAAGACAGGACTGTGGAGAAGACAGCTCAAGTTCCTGCTGAGAGGTGGCGGTGGCAGCGACATCCGTGTGTGCAGGGTGGGGGTCCCGGATCCAGAGCTCCCAAGTCACCGGGTGGTGTCATCGCGGAGGGGTGGCTTGGAGTTCGGATTAATGTTTAGAACACAGAAGGTACCTACAATTAATCCCTTATTTGTAGGTCCTGAAAAGCAAAAGCTAAGAATGGAAGACTAAATGGAACAAGTAATAATCAGCTCCTTCAACCAGCGTTTTGCCCCATTTATCCAAAATGCAGGGACTTCCCTGGTGGCGCAGTGGTTAAGAATCTGCCTGGCAACGCAGAGGACCCGGGTTCAATCGCTGGTCCAGGAAGATCCCACATGCCGCGGAGCAACTAAGCCCGTGTGCCACAACTACTGAGCCCACGTGCCACAACTGCTGAGCCTGTGCTCTAGAGCCCGCGAACCACAACTACTGAGCCCGCGCGCCTAGACCTGTGCTCCGCAACAAGAGAAGCCACCGCGATGAGAAGCCCGCGCACCGCAACCAAGACCCAACGCAGCCAAAAATAAAAAATAATTTTAAAATGCAGGTAGAGGTTCCACGAGGGACTTCACTGTTACTAAATATACTGCAGGATCCAAAG